CATAAATCCAGCAAGCATAGAAATACGTTAGGTTGAGTTCATTGCCTTGTTTAATGTTTTCCAAGCTTAAAATTACTAAAATATTGAAATCAGGCTAGAGAGGACTGGAAAAGAGTGGGTTGCCATGGGAATGGAAATGATTATAGCTGTAGGTGTGTTGCATTTAGAACTATTAGGCTACCAATTTTCAATGGTTTCTGCTGCAAAGTGACCAAGATAGCGCTATTTATATACTTGATGTAATATTTGGTTGGGTGTATGACATCATAGTCATCTCATTTGCATATTTTACTCATTTTTTTAAACTTAAATATCTCCGGAACCAATGCAGATATTTGTAAATGGTAAACGGCATCTTTAAACTTTTGTAGAATTATATGTGATTAACCTAAAAAAATCAAGGAGTAAAAATTTGATCATAGTAGTGTCAGGGAAACAAAAGAAATCAGAATGGAATTCCCACCAGGAAGACTACTTCAATATAAAAAGGAACTGATTTATAATTTTGTCTCATTTACACCATGAATTCACAACTCATCAGTAAAAGAGTACATTCAGCAAATGCATTGTTTTAGAATTAGTACCTCTTAGTGGTGAAAAAATTTTGAAGCCATGCCCAAATAACAGGATCTTAGTATTCTCTTAGGAGTTCTTTTCAATATTTCCAACCAGCACCCCCATCCTGTTTATATGGGATTTCCCCCCCTGGAAAAAATCCCATAACAGGAAACACTGGTCATGCAAATATCAGAGTTCTCCCTAATATATCATGGCTTCTGATAGACAGGTTCTTTCTTTCTTTATTATTTGTGAGCAATAAATAGCAATAATTAAAAGTAACAAACAAACAACATTATTTCAAAGTGTTATGAATGTCAAAGCCCGTTACTTTGCACCCCTAGAATCTAAAAATTATCTAACCTAATAATTGATTGATAGTTTACATTTGTTCAAAATATTCTTTTAATTTAGTTTAAGTGTTAAGTTAAGTAAATTGCAGCAGCGGATACAGTACATATCTGGTATGAACTATTCATTGAGTATGGTAAATAATTTATTTTGTCACCCCTGTACATTTTGCAGTCTGAGAGCTGCACAAATAATTTCTATCACACAGTTTAAATATACTTTAGTCCCTTAGTATAATATTTGTATAACTAGTTGTACATCTGCTTAATTATCAACATATTATATACCATTCTTATTTGAAATACAGACAGTTCGTTATTTTGTAATGTGTATATATATGAGACTTCCAGGAACAGACATATTAATATCATTTGATCCATGAGCAGATTAGCCTCCCATGCAGATGCTCTGAGCATCTGCATGGGGGCTACAACCAGATGGCAAGTTGTAAAAGTTGTCTGCCAACAGATTAAGAGGGTGTAAAATTGACTGGGACTTAATGACTGGCAGTCCACATCATATAGATGGCACTGGATTAGGGAAGTACAACACAGTATATCTTATTGACAACTGAAGCTACACTATGTCTTCAAGATACAGAACTGTCCTTGAGGTTATACCAGCTTGTATCAGGCTTTCAGAAAAATTGTCAAAAACCCGTCTTGGCACTTCATTGGTGCAGAACTGGCAAGGAGGAAGTTTATTTTTACTTGCTGACTCAGCAAAAGCCAGCACCGTTCCTAGTGTGTCAGTGTGTCTAAACCATCTTTCATGACGAGATCCATCTAAAAGTCTGATAGCAAGATGTATCCTTTGTGGCTCTGTATCTTTTGGTTCATCAGGAAGTGTATAATGTAATGACAGATCAGCTGTCTTTTGTAGCAACATAAGATTGTCATTGTCATTATCATGTTTGCTTTTTACACCAGAATGGTGAGAAGGATGGTCCCCATCAGGTTCAACAACAAGTCCTGTACCAATAGAAGGAAGTGGCTTGTACTTTGAGAATGATGATTGTGATTTTAGAGGTGGGAAAGGAACTTGTTCCCCAACACGCTGCAGATTTTCTCTTGAAGCTTTAGTCTCTCTCCCAGGCTGGGACGTCGGACGTACACGACCCCTGGCTGATTTTGGACGACCTTCTATACCTGCAAAGTGCCGTGATGGAGGTCTAGGAACAAATGAAGCATTACTTCCTGAAAATTTGTGTTCATTAGAAGAGATAAGGTCCTCTGTGGTATGACGTCGTAACAGATGGCTTCCATCTTGAAATGGTCTTTGATTTGAATGAGGCCTATGTTGGGATGTCTGTGCTGTATTATTTGGGGGTACTGGGCTGTCTAGCGACCTGCCACTCATTGGTCTTTCACCATGATGTGATTGTGGTTGTCCTCCAAACTTTCCTGCATGAAAACAAGCAAAAAGACAATCAAATTGAATATTAAATTTTGCCACTGCACATGCAGAGTGCAAATATACTTTTGGAACACAGTTCTCTGATGTTTATCTATCATGAAACAAATATTTCTAACAGACTGTATGGAACGTACTGGACTGTATGGAAGTGGTAGGTGAAATTTCGCAGCATATTTTTCATGTTATCTTGCTATCAATCTACAAAGTACTACTACATGGAGTAAGCTTATATAAGTTTATATTTGTTTTCATTATGACAGATCATACCTGATCATACTAAGAAATATTTAAGTTTATAATTGCAGTGATTTCTTTAAAGAGAGTTCAAAATGTAATATTCCAAGTTTTACAGTTTGCACTTAAGCTTATAGTTTACTCCCGTTTGTTATACAAACTGGTCTCTCATGATCATGAAAGGCAGAACGGCGACCCAGAGGATTTCGACATTCATGTAACACATACCTTCGCTGAAACGTCTCGCTCCAGACGAAACTGGCGTTCTAGCAATCATTGAGTCGTGAATCAAATCTCTGTTTTTTCCCCTTGTTCTTTCTGTTAGTCCATCTGCGTTTGCAGAATGCATAGTCAATTCTCCGCCATTCTTGTTACAGCTTTTGCTAAGCAACTTCCGAGAATTTCCGAAACCTTATCGACCGATCACGATCTTAGGACGGACCTACCTTCGGCAAATTCTTACAGTATCAAATTTCCATAGCGCTAAAACTATTCAACTGAGCGTCTTAATCTATCGACAGGCGAGGCAAATTTAACCTTATTTTGAACCATGACGGTAAACGACTGAAACGATGCTCCTTTTCCTTGCCGTTTTCACCATAGTTAGTTTTCACCGACGACACTCGGAAGAGTTCGGAAACTCTCGACTTCGTATCGAATGTATCGCTCGTTTCCAATCTCCTCTCACATCCACCGGAAACAAGTTGGCTGTTGTCTGGACATTTTCTTTGACTACTACACTTTGAACTAAAAGAGAAAGTACATTGTCATATATTTCTGGCTTTCCTTGTTAGAGAGATTGCATTAATACTCAGTTATGGCCGATGAAGACTGGGCGGCCGAAGTGGATGAGCAGGAGCGACAGATAACTGGTCAAGTAAGTGATATGCCAAGTATTTCACATCTCGAGAACACGTGCGAAAGTTCTCAGTTTTGCCGGTGACCCACTGATTGCTGTTGATTTTCTCCCCTGATTGCAGCATTGGAAATTGTCGTTTAATTAAGTGCAGAACGTTCGCCCATCAAGTGACATTGAATCAGTAAATGGAACTTATGTGTACACACATACATTGTAGCCTATGTGCGGCTGTGATAGCTTGTGATATCTCTCTCACTGGCTAATGTTTACGCAGCTCATGCTAGAATGACTTGTGGCTTTCACATGCCCATCGACGTACTCAGGTTTCAAGATCTGAACTTAAACATTAATGAGTCTTCCCTCCTGGATAAAAAACTTTAACAGTGCTTGTAAATGGACAGCCTTGTATTTATTTTAACTTACGTTATTTTACTTACAAATATGTTATCACCCAGGAAATCTTTTCACCCATGACAACAGGAGTTCTGGAAGGTCCTCCTAAGTTGACATTATTTGCCTTTAAATTCTGGATTTCAGTTAAGAAATAAAAAAAAACATGTACTGTGTTTCTGTCAAGTTATAGAAACACTAGTGGAAGTTTGGGAAAACAAGATATGCTGTGGGAACACGAGCTGACACTGTGGGAACACGAGACAACAGGCAAGTGTTTCCACAGCTTTTTTTGAGTTTTCCCAAACTTCCACAAGTGTTTCTAGTAAACGATTAGATCATGAGCTCGAGATTTCTATCCCTTGATAGTTACGCATAGAAATTGGAGCGAATAATCTAATGGTTTTTGTATAAATCTACCAGTGGTTCAAAACTTTATCTACTGAATCCTCTTTACAGACACTTTGAAAATGCAAAGAAGCGGCTGCCAGTTCGTCAAACAGCACACACTGCTAGGCTACTCACTATTTACAACAGAATAGATAGTGAGTAGCATGGCCAAACAGTGAACAGCATTTGTGATAGAACACTAGTAGATTTATCCTAAACCTTGATAGAAACACAGAGCACATATTTTCTATTTCTTTTAGAAATTTTTGCGACAATAGCAGGAAAACAACTTGTTTAGTTTGGTCAAAATGTTAATTCTCTTTGCTTGCACCATCATTTACACCAACATCTCGGGCTAGTTTTGTGTTTCTGTTGAGTTACAGAAACACAATTTTAAGCCATTGAGCATGCGCATTTTCTTTGGGCTATTTTCTAAATGAAAATAACGCAGGTTGTAAAATTTCAGCATTATTCTATCCTTGAAGGAAACCTTTGTTCAGAGAAATATTGAAATAGACTGAGAAATTTCACACAAACATTTCCATTTCAACTGGGAAAAGTATTTTCTCGGGAGCTCCTGCATGTTCACTCATTAGACCCATTAGCATCTGTTGGCTATCTTGTTTGGGTTTTGTGTACGATGTAAGTTGTGAAGCAGTGAGTTTTACGCTTTAAGGCAAAGTAAGCTGACAAGGGGAATTAGTGGGGGGGGGAGAAGTGGGTAGAGGAAAAGAGTTCTACCATATCTGTTGCCTGATGCCAGATTGGTTCTAGCATCTCATGTTGTTCAATTGAATGCATTCTTGAAGCCAATCAAAACAAGAGTTTGCTAGCCAAGGACATTTAGTTATAAAATTTTCTTTTATTAGGTCAATCAGCTGAAAATAGATAACAGTAAACCTCCAACTGGGACTTCACCTTCTGAAGAAAAGCCAGCAGCTAAAGGGCAAGAAGACGATGATGGTTTGTATGATCCCAGTTTATTTCATTATCAATTTTGAGTTGAATCCCACTTACAAATATCACTCTGAAAGTCTTGTTTAAATTTGATTTATAGTTTGCTACTTTGTCTTTTGAAATCCCCCTTCCATCTCAGAATTTCCAGTCACCTTTTTCAAGGTTGAAATAAGGGAACTCACAAAGTTAGCTACCTGACCTGGAAAGTTAATAAGACCTCTGGGCCAGGTTGTTCAAAAGCCTGTTAATGCTAACCCAGGATTAAAAGTTAATCAAAGTATCCGTTTTTCTTGTATAAAAATGTTTCTCATTGCTCGTGTTTTGTGTAGTTTGAGACTTGCAAACTCAAACCTGAATGACAAACAGTGTAAGTAGAAAACAGCACCCAAAAGTTACAAAATTGAAATCAAAATTCTCGCTAATCCTGGGTTAGCTTAATCGGGCTTTGAACAACCCAGCCCTGACGATTTAGTGATGCTCATATCTATTAACTTGTTGGAATTCCTTATGGACACCTTGCCTTCAAACTTATTGTCCTTGTATCTGGAAATTGGAACCATTAATGTTTGTTTTAGGCAGGCATGTGAATGAAGTGCACCTAAATGTGACTTATCCAGAAAACAAGCTATTGTAATACCACATCAGTGATGCATATTTAAGTAGTGGCTTAGGTGGTACTATACATTGTAGGCACAGTTATATTAATACTGACATCTCTCTCATGTCCATAACACAACTCAGCTGCTGTTGCTGCCGAGTCATCACTTTTGACGAAACTTTTAAGGAGCAAACTCATCCAGAACAAGAATGAAGTTGAAGTGCAGCGAAATGATCCCAGTTCACCTCTTCACTCAGTCAAATCATTTGAAGAATTGCCTCTGTAAGTACTTCTACTATTATATGCTTTGTTTGCCTTGTAATTTTATACCAATGTTGATTTCTTGTTTTATTATACATGTATTTTAATTTTTAGGTCAGAACAGCTTCGCCGTGGTGTATATGATATGGGCTTCAACAAACCATCCAAAATTCAAGAAACAGCCTTGCCGATGCTTTTAGCAGACCCGTGAGTATGGTGTTAAAATGCTGTTAAGCGTCAATAATTTACTTGAAATTTGGGACGGTTATTGTGACAGTCATAAACTTTAGTTTCATTTCAAAGACATTTAGAAAGAAATATGCATAAAGTGATTTATAAAGCTCTGCTTGAGCTCTTCTTTTCACACAAATGAATGTCCTGCATGTACTCATCATTGGCCTCCATCGCTTGTTGACAATGGATTATGTGCCCTAGTATTTTATGGTTTGGTGCTGTGGTGGTGTCACATCTGGAACAGCGTCGGCCATAGCTGGTCAGTCCGATTCTGGAGTGGCAGTCTATTACATCAAGTGAGAGGTGTGGATGGTATCAAGATTATCTCCACAGGACAACCCAATGGCCTTTAGTCTGGCCCTCTTTTTTTTGGCCAGGTTCTTAATCTTTTCCTCTCCTGCCTTGAGTTTTCTTAGGAGCACATCTGCTGCCATCAGCTGCTATATCTGCCCAGCTATGTGACTCCAAGATCTAATGTAATACCACTGTAACATGTAGTTGTATCAAGTGTGGCACAAAAGGCAAAAAACTCATGTTTTGTTTTCAATCGATGTTTAGACCCAATAACATGATAGCACAATCTCAGTCTGGAACAGGAAAAACAGCAGCATTTGTACTGTCCATGCTTAGCAGAGTAGATGCAACAAAACACTTCACACAGGTAAAATTCCAAAATTATTTTTATGATAATAATACCATAATTACTGGCGCAATAAATAAACATAAACATTAAGTAGCCAAGAAGGTAAGGGAGGGTCATCTAAGAGTTGTTTTATGCACACTTGAATGTCAACAGAAACTTTACTATTATTATTTGTCGTTGTTGCTGTTTATATGTGCTTGAAACAATTTCTTGATTCTTTTTCTGTCGTTGTTTTTTTATAAGGTGATCTGCCTTTCGCCAACATATGAGCTGGCATTGCAGACAGGCCAGGTGGCAGAAAAGATGGGGAAGTTTTGTCCTGAGGTTAAGATCGGTTATGCAGTGAGGGGAGAAANGTTGACAATGGATTATGTGCCCTAGTATTTTATGGTTTGGTGCTGTGGTGGTGTCACATCTGGAACAGCGTCGGCCATAGCTGGTCAGTCCGATTCTGGAGTGGCAGTCTATTACATCAAGTGAGAGGTGTGGATGGTATCAAGATTATCTCCACAGGACAACCCAATGGCCTTTAGTCTGGCCCTCTTTTTTTTGGCCAGGTTCTTAATCTTTTCCTCTCCTGCCTTGAGTTTTCTTAGGAGCACATCTGCTGCCATCAGCTGCTATATCTCCCCAGCTATGTGACTCTCATATAATACCACTGTAACATGTATTTTCTAAAGACCAGTTGTATCAAGTGTGGCACAGAAGGCAAGAAACTCATGTTTTGTTTTCAATCAATGTTTAGACCCAATAACATGATAGCACAATCTCAGTCTGGAACAGGAAAAACAGCAGCGTTCGTACTGTCCATGCTTAGCAGGGTAGATGCAACAAAAAACTTCACACAGGTAAAATTCCAAAATTATTTAATTATGATAATAATATCATAATTACTCATGCAATAAATAAACATAAACATTAAGTAGCCAAGAAGTTAAGGGAGGGTAATCTAAGAGTTGTTTTATGCACACTTGAATGTCAACAGAAACTTTACTATTATTATTATTTGTTGTTGTTTCTGTTTATATGTGCTTGGAACAATTTCTTGATTCTTTTTCTGTTGTTGTTGTTTCTTTATAAGGTGATCTGCCTTTCGCCAACATATGAGCTGGCATTGCAGACAGGCCAGGTGGCAGAAAAGATGGGGAAGTTTTGTCGTGAGGTTAAGATTGGTTATGCAGTGAGGGGAGGAAAAGGTAAGAAACTTCCTGCAGTCGTCTGAAAAGCTGATCTTCCTTCTAATGTAATTTATTATAAATTTTGTTTCTCTTCAGTGTCAAGAGGCCAGAAAGTGACAGATCATATATTGTTTGGCACACCAGGAACCCTGCTTGACTGGATTTTACGACACAAAGTTATTGATTCAAAGAAAATCAAGATGTTTGTATTGGATGAAGCCGATGTCATGATTGCTTTACAAGGACATCAAGATCAATCTATAAGGATACACAAGTCAGTAAACTATTGTTTCAGAGTTAGATCTATCATTTGGCAGCAAATTTTCTTAGGAGTTTATTTTCAGGAATTGCCACTTCTTTGTGCTTCTCAGGAAAAAAATTTTTGGAAAATTTGGAATTCAAAATTTACATCTGGAAACAAATTTTCCTGCCTGGATAATTCAAGTTCTGTCTGGTATTTCATGATCAGAATTTGTAAATAACAACCAGAAGATGTAATATTGCCATGTTTATTTCACTCATTCACTCTTTCTTGTTTCCTGAGTAGTTATGCCAATGATCATAGACAAATTGCATGTTACAACACACGAAAGTTTTATTCTCCGGCTTCTTTTCCACACAGGACATTACCAAAAGATTGTCAAATGCTGCTGTTCTCTGCAACTTATGATGAAGAGGTGATGAAGTTTGCAAAATCAGTCGTGCCTGATCCACTCATCATTCGACTTCGCCGGGAAGAGGAGAGCCTGGATAACATCAAACAGTTTTACGTGGTGTGTCGTGATAAAGAAGACAAGTTCCAGGCCCTCTCCAACATGTATGGAGTTGTGTCTATAGGACAGTGCATTGTATTTTGTCATGTAAGAACATATTCCTTGTTGTAAAAGGCCATTAGTTTGGTACTACTTAAGTTTCTCAAAGCAGGGCTGAGTCGTTTTCCTTTACCTTACAGTGAGTCAGGTTTTGGGAATCTATGGGGAAGCAGGGATGGCACAG